CCACGCTTGCCACAACGCCGGCATACAGCGGATCGGAACCTGCATTCTGAGCGGGCATGCGCGCCCCCACACCCTAGGCAGCTGCCCAGGGCTGTCTTCATTGCAGGCTTGCGAGGCTTGTTACGTGTGGCTTTAAGACGGCTAACATCGGTCTCCCCTTCAGAGGTGTCATCCAGGTCTGACTCCTCGTGATGAACTGATTGAGGGGTGGTAGCTGGCAAACCCCCTCCCGGCTGGGCACGTTGGATCTCGGCCGAAGATTTGGCAGACATCTCAGCGGCTCTTGCTTCATCCATCGCTATTGGGAGGGTTAGGTCTGGAAGAGCCAACAATCTCTGCTGAAGCTTCATGTTTCGCACCCCGCACACGAGCTGGTCCAAGAGCATATCATCCAGCTCCCTGAATTCGCAGTGTAGTGCTGCCGATCGTAGGGAGGCCATATAATCATTAATGGACTCCCCCTCCCTCTGAGTCCTCTGATGGAAGGCATGTCTTCTCGCAATCTTTGAGGGAGTGGGTGAGTAGTGATGCCTCAGCTTCTCAAGTAACGTCTCCCAGGGAACCGCAAACACTGCCTGAGGGGCGACTAGAGCTCTGGAGGTTGCGAATGTTTCTCGGCCACATGAACTAAGGAAATAGCCCCTCTTTCGAGCGCTAGACAAGTTGGCTAAATCGTTCGCTTGTAAAAAACACTCGAAGCGTTCCAGGTACTCGTCCCAAGTCTCCAACGCCGACTCGAAAGGCGTGAATGTCGGAAGAGCAGTTGCCATCGTGCGAACAGATAGACGGGGATGAAAGCACTAGGGCTTGTCGCTTTTAGTTCCGTAGTTGTTGAGGGCAACCGTCACCTCAAAAAAAATATCCCACCCTCGTCGCCACTTGTTGAGTCCAGTGGGTAATTACTCCGGAGGCTAGGTTATGCTATTAACACCAACTTTATTAACGGAACAATCATCAACAGAACACTGGTAAAGTGAGCGACAACACTTCTCTGACAGCTCCTTAAATAGCCGGCTGTCAGAAGCCCTGAACCAATCGCGAGCAGCTGTTCTCCCGCTCCTTCAGCTGCTCGCGTCTTAACCAATCCTAGAGGCCTGCAAGCAGAGCCTGTTGCTGAGGGTGTCGTAACTGGACGGATCTAACATAGTCCTTATAAAATGGTGTCTTTACACATCAGATTGGGGGCTATTTTGTGAGAAATAGGGAAATATAACATAGCTGCTGTAAGAATTTAAGTTTGTCATAGAAAAGAGAGACCCATAGGAAAACCAGGAGGTAAAAGCTAATGAAAAAAATGAAGGGAAAGGAGAAATGTGAGAAATAAAGTGTGAACCTGGTTTTTGCCATTTTGTACTACCATTAAAAAAATTAATAACCCAAAGACATAAGGGGAAAAAAAAGATGTAACTCATATAAATGATGGTAAATCGTTTGGCAATATAAAAACTTCAAAAACAGAATTGAGAAAATAAAAAGAGGATATATGTATAAGTATTTCTAGGATTAGGGATTGAAATCTTTCAGCAGTCTTGACATTTCCATAATATTAGCTGCTTATCAATGTAAATTTCATAACACAAATAACTAATACAACTTAAAATTACTTACTATAGTAAATAATATACAGCAAAGTGCAAACCACATGGATTTAGCCAAAGTAAATCAAAAGACACAGCTGTCCAAGAGTAGAAATATACCATATAGTTTATACAACATATAGTGTAAGGACTGTAAGAGGCCCTGTGTAGGACAAAGGTCAGAAAGTTAGTAGAGCAGATCCATGAACACCAACCAGTAATCATAATCAGAAGACATGATGGAAATGCCTAGTTTCAACTGAGAATCAGAGACCAAGCAAGTCCAAAAATGCATATAGATGTAACAACAACAACTGTATATCATTCAAAAGAGACAATCAAAAACAAAAAACAAAACAAAAAGTTCAAAATACCTCCTCACCAGCAATCAACAGAACGATTAATGCTAGACCAATAACCAAGTAAACAAGTCCAATCAAGAAACTAGTAATGTAGTCAAACAAGCTAACAGTAAAAAACAGCCTAATCAAGGAGCCACAAAGGTCTCACTGACAGGGCAAGCCACTATGTACAATGAGAGCAAACCCTACTCCTTTGGAGTACAGATGATGTTATCTACTATTCCAATAAAAAATCTGCAAGAAAACAACCAAGCTCAGAGAGCACTAAGGTCCAGACAGTTCAACCTTTAGCTACATATATTCTCTTTTAATGAAACAGCAAAGTTTGGAAAAGATCTATGTATGTATAGTACATTTATATTTATGTGTATGTATATACATAATGAGTATATTTATATTCATGTGTATGTATATATACATAAAGTATATGGGTCTCTCGAAGGAAGGAAGGAAGGAAGGAAGGAAGGAAGGAAGGAAGGAAGGAAGGAAGGAAAGAAGGAAGGAAGGAAGGAATATCTGAAGAGAAAGATGCTTCTTAACAGTCAGATCCAAGTTTCATTTAATGCAATTTGATTTGATTTACTTTATTGTTTAATTGATGACTGAAATTTCCATTTGAATTCAGCTGTTTTCTCAGTTGGAAGCCAACTGCAGATCCTGGAGAACAAAACTTTCTACATTTCTCATTTAGTTCTCTCTGTACCCCCTCGTGATTATTTTGTCCTTAATTGCAGGTTACAATAATCTGTGTATCACAAGTTGGTTTGTTCACCTGAGCATGTTTAGTTCTCTACAATCATGATAATTCATTCTTATTTTCAATCTCTAAGGAGTTACAGAAAATACTAAAAGTAATGTATTTCCACAACAATAAAGATGCAATATTCTTTTTTCTCCAAAGCTACAGCTAGAGGACAAAGTCCTGTCATTCTGATTTTTTTAAAAAGGAAACCTCTACTTTACAGCAGCCTCATGGAACACTGTATCTCAGGCTGTCCTATTTCAAATGCCTAATACTCATGGAGTGAACAGATGGCTGAGAGATAAATTGCTGTACAAAATGATATTATTCTTTGCATCTGTAGCAATATTGTCCTTCTTTGTAGAAGCTGATACAACCCTTGCTAAATGTTCTGTAGGAAATCAGCCTTTTATTAAGCACAAGCAATATCATTCAGAAGATTTAGTCATTGCAGGCATTTCGTCTCAAATTTGCATGATATCTGATGAAGTAACATTCAGAATAAGTCCATCAGTTGAATTGTTTGGTGATTTAATGTATGGAATTCCTTTTTTTCAGTAATGCAAATACAGAAAATAGTTAAAGCCTATGACATGATTGAATTAGGATGGAGGGTGAATGTTATATTGCCTATCCTGCACTATTATTTCTAAATAATATTGCTTCAATTCCCATCTGTTACATAAGTTATTTTCCAATATGGGGTTATTTCTTTGGCTTTGGTACCATTCTAGAGGTTATCAGTTAAATTTTAATACACTTTTCTCATATCTCTATGACTTGATGAAGTACACATGAAATAAATGCCTGCAGAGCATTGCTTCATACCAGCGATATGTTAAGGTGTCCATGATTGCAGTTAGTTCTAAATGCAGATATTATATCAAAAATTCCTCAGAAATTTCCAGTGTATTGAATAAGTAAAGTAGAAAATTAGGGTATGAAGTAAAATTAAATATAGTCTTCCAAATTAAGAAAACCCCCCACTAATTATTGATGTTTATTGAATTTTGTAATTGGACTGCCTGAATGCTTATGGATTGTTATATTGCTTAGACCTCTTTCCTGAATATTTTAAACAAATGGTTTCTTTGATGCTAGTGCATCAACCTGTATCAGCGCATATGGCCTGAAAAATCTAAACTTGTGTGATACAATTAGAATGCAGCCAATTCCAGATTTGGCAACAGATGTTGTAAAATTTAATTTCAGATATTATATGCACAACTACCAGCACATCTTGGCTTTGGAATTTGCAATCAAAGAAATCAATGAGAATTCCAGGATCTTGCCAAACATCACCCTCGGTATCCATATCTCCAATAGCTATTTCATGGGAAGATGGATCTATCTGGCTTCCATGGAGCTTCTCTCTACGAAGGAAAGGTTCATCCCAAACTACAAATGTGACCTCAAGGACAGTGTAATATCTATGATTGCAGGACATAATGCTCACATTGGTCAGTTCATGTCAAACATTTTGAGTATATATAAAATCCCACAGGTAAGAACCATCCCATAAAGAAAGGAGTCAAATTTAAATACAGTATTTCTTGCTTGATTTAGTTTAATTTCTATTCCAAATTTTATATTTATGAATCTATTAGTGTCAGAAACATTCAAAACAAAGGGATAACATTGCCTCACATAGTTAAAATCACAATCAAGCTAAACATCAAAATATATTTCATCAAGGGTGGGACAGAGAGGAATGATTCAAAATGCTAGAAAGTCATGTATACCTAATCTACAGGGTAAATCATGTCATGGAAACATGTGTAAACATAGCATAATCCAGAGGTTCCTACTTATTCTTGAAGTTCTGACATTCCTAGAGCTTTGTTTATTTAAAAAAACCTAAACAATTATAATAGAAATTATATTGGAATATGTAAATGGTAGTCAACTTTGCCCATGCCTGGAAAACATTGATATTTAAATAATATCCTTAAAATAGACATAAGTGATTTGGAAGTATATACTCTAATTTCTTCTTTTTTCCTAGCTCATATATGGTTCAACTGCAGAGATAGATGACAACATAGAAGCTGCTTTCTTCCATCAGTTATTTCCAAATGAAGACCTTCAAATTATGGGACTGGTCCAATTGTTGCTTCACTTCCAGTGGAAATGGATTGGGCTCATTGTCCAAAACCCTAAAAAGGGAAAGAGTTTCATACAGAATAAGCTTGATATATTTTCTAAGAAAGGCATCTGCTTTGATTTCATGGAAGAAATGCCAATGGAATCGGTTATCAATGATATTGAAATTCAACTTAATTGTTATGTTTTGCTCTATAAGGCTATTATGAGAAGTACTGCCAATGTTGTAATCACTTATGGTGAAAATGATGACATGCCTTTTCTTAGAATGTTGCCATTTGGTTCAGAATATGAAGAAGTGCCAATGAAGAGAAAAGATAAAGTTTGGGTCATGCCAGCACAGATGGAATTCACATCACTCCGCTTTCAAAGATACAGGGGACTGGATTTCATCCATGGTGCACTATCATTGGCAATTTCCTCAAAGGAAATATTAGGGTTTAAGAAATTTATTCAGATGAGAAAGCCTTCTTCTTCAGAAGAGGACAGTTTGACAAGAGTGTTTTGGGAAGATGCATTTGAATGTTCTTTCCCAAATGCTGGGTTAGATGAGGACAGTGACAATCAATGCACTGGTGAGGAGTCACTGGAAACCCTCCCTGAATCTGTGATTGAATCTAGTATTACTGGACAAAGTTATAGCATTTACAATGCTGTCTATGCAGTGGCCCATGCTCTACAAGCCATTCTTTCATCTAAGAGCAGAAAAAGAGGAAATATTTGGGAACTCAGTCAACAGTCGTGGCAGGTAAAAATGACATGAATGAAAATATATTATATATTTTTATAAGGGCCAGTCATATAAATATTCAGCTAGTATTTTGGAGTTGTATAGCTAATAAGAATATTCTGAAGTTGAATTAACTCAAAAGTGATATGTCAGAATTGTAAATACCTAAATGCTTTTTAGAAAGGATGCAAAAGTCATGAGAAGGACTGTTAAGAGAAAGTAAATGCCAATTTATTCCCAGGAAAGAAGATAGAGACTAATTCTTAGAAGCAAATTCTTGCATGTATTCAAGTTTCTGTTATCATACCCTATAACAATAAATATTCCTCATATTATATTTGCTGATTGGTTTGCCTTAAAAGGATAACATCTAATTTATGAAAGATCCTTCATTCATACTTGTTCATTGCTTCCAATTGCTATAAATTTCTTTTAATGATTTCCTTTTAGTTCCATTGGTATCTGAAAGCTGTTTCATTTAATAACAGTGCTGGAGAAATGGTTCACTTTGACGAAAGAGGAGAGCTACCTACTGGATTTGATGTTATCAACTGGGTCACCTTCCCCAACCAATCATTTCATCGTATCAAAATTGGAACCATAGTTCCAGTGACTCCCTCTGAAAATCTTCTTACTCTTTATGCAGAGGAGATCATCTGGCCCCCCATGTTTAACCAGGTAGTTTTGGCACCAATATCAAACCATGGTGAATAATTTACTTTATTTTTACCTACTGCTTCAATGTTCAGAAAGTTCTTTCAGGAATTACAGGCATCCAATGACTCTTTTCTCAAAGTGACTCGTGAACATGATTACCCTAAAATAAAAAACCAACACAAAATATTTGCACTGATTAGAAGAGAGATTTCTATCAAGGGGGATTTAAAACATATAAGAGGTTATATGATTTCTGGGAATGTTGGAGTTTTAGAAGCAGGACCTCAAATAGCAACACTATGTAAAGTGGCAAATTTTAGTAACACTCAGCTTCCTAAAAATTGCAACCTGTGACATTCCCTGTGTAACAGATACAAGTATTATAACAGTTTTCTACCCACACCAAACACCCCTATTATAAAGTCAGCTTCATTTAATTAGCATCATGCAGTAAATGCAGTTAGGAATGGTGTGGTGGCTTAGAGGTGGAGCTCTCGCCTCACAATCAGGAAGCTGTGAGTTCAATTCTAGGTAGAGGCAGATATTTCTCTCTCTGGACACAATGAGAATATATTTGCTGAATCACTCTCCACATTGGTATCAGGAAGGGCATCCGGCCAATAAACACTCTGCTAACACTCCATTCAGTTGCCCAGCCTCCAATCTCACAAGGGCTGATGGGGTTGTTAAACGAAGATGATGATGCAGTAAATGCAGTTATAAGGACTGCTGGGTAGAAGACGCTCTCCATTTCCCCACCATCTCCCTAATACTCCATCAAATTAGTGTTCACTGAATCTCCATATGAGAAAAAGAGACGCTAAAGCCATTGAGGAAGTTATGATTTATCCCCAGAGTTAGAATTACTAAACATGTTTGCATCATTTTTAAAAAATGCAGTACATAGATGAAAGGCCTGTATTTCTCTACAAAGTTAGCAGTAAAGCATAAATTAACCAAAGTTGTGTTTCCATCCTGGGTTTTGTTTTTGTTTTGCATTTATGAAATCATTCTAGCTTAATTTTGTAGGGAAAAAAAAGCTGAATAATAATAAATTAAAAACCCAATATAAAAACTCACTTGAACTGAATTTGTTAGGGTGAATAAGATAATTGTCATTCTATAACAAGAGAATGCAGCCTTTTTCTTCATCCTCCAGATTTTTCTGAGTCTTAAGAAAAAAGAAAAAATATAAACACTTTCAGGAAAGATTAAAATATATCATTTTTTTAAAAAACCATTCTTCAATGTTTAATATTATATTAAAAACTATAGGCATTTTATTACAATAAAAAAAGCATATACTGAAAAGAATACGGGTATCTAACCTCTTACTCCGTCATAGCTTCTACAAAATATGGGGATCTGTATCAGCCTTTGAAATTGCACTCTTATATTTCTGCAGAGAATATTATCTGGCCCACCATATCCAACAATATTCTGCAGTAACTTCCATTATTATTATTTTTGAGTTGATAAAATTATTTATTAATTAAATTTACATGCCACTCATCTCATCGTCAGACTACTCTGGGTGACTGACATCATAAAAGCAAATATACAAATGAGTAAAAATTAAAAATTAATTAAAATTAGATCATCAGTATACAAAGGGGCAGAGGCAGCATCTTCTCCCTAGTCTACTAACCATCTCCAACATGGAACACCACCATTGGAGCTCCAGGCCTATCAGCAGAGTGAGGTTTTGATACCCTTTACGTGTAAATTAAGAGTACAAGTGGATTTTCTCTCAAGGAGAACAATGTTCCAGAGGATGAGAGTCATGGCAGAAAAGGCTCTTTGGACCCTGAATATTCAAATGGTAATTCATTATTTACACATATTTTTACAAGTGTTCTGTCTTTGAACATACAATATTCACTGAGTGGTTCATTTATGTTAAAACAGAAGAAAAAAAATGATTCTGAAATGGTGACTGATGATGATTGAATTTTCATAACATATTTGAATATAGAATGGTTTGCAACTTAATCTGCCTCAAAGGTTAAGGCATTTCCAGAAGGGGAGACTAGATACATCTTTCAGGGTTCTGCTTTGACTTGGTCAGTAGATGCAGATTTGATACTAAAAGAAATTACCATGGGCCTCAGAGAAAACTACATTCCAAACACATTAGAAATATTTCATTAAGATGTGATGATTGGATGACTAACCCAGATACCATATCACTTTTTAGAAAAAAATATATAAGCAAAAGTAGCGTAAGAGAAGTAAAAAAAAAAAAAAAAGTAAAGGTAAGAAGATACTGCTTGATAACCAAACGGTAAAATATCTACTATTTATAAACATGCCATGAATCATGTTATTGTAAAATATCTGTCTGAAAATTGTTTGGAGTTTTAAATTGGAAAAAAGTAGTTAACATAATATAAATCACCAAGTAAAGTTATAAATGCAATGCATGGAACTAATACTGGAAATCTAATTTTCCATCAAATTTAAAGATAGACTTTTCATTGTGATATACATTCTTTTATAATGTGCAAGAATGCACATTTTATAGTGCAAGAATGATTTCCAGTTAGAATGAACTTCAAATTTTTAAATACAAGGTTCTTCTGGTTATGGAAGTCTTCCACAGTTCTTCCAAAGAAGCAATTAAACATCCTTTCAAGTAGACAATATAGAAGATCCTTGGAGCCATTAAGACATAATTTTATTTTAGAAATGAATCCTTTCTGAGGATTCTCTTCGTCATTTCACCAATTGTGGCAAAGGACATTTATTTATTTTTATTTATTTAATTTTGTCGAGTACATTTTAGATAATATATATAAGTATAATCATGAATTGAATACATAAAATGAATACAATTAAAGGGAACATTAGGACAGGGATGATAGGCACGCTGGTGCTCTGTAACTCTGTTACTGAAGTCATATTTTCTGTAATCGAGTCTGGAGCGGTTTACTTTAAGTTTGTATCTATTGTGTGCTCGTGTATTGTTGTGGTTGAAGATGAAGTAGTCATTGACAGGTAGGACATTGTAGCAGTTGATTTTATAAGCTACGCTTAGGTCATACCAAAGGCGGCGTAGTTCTAAATTTTCTAAACCCAGAATTTCAAGTCTGGTGTTACAGGGTATTTTGTTACAAGCAGAGGAATGGAGGACTCCTCTTGTGAAATATTTCTAGACACGCTCAATTGTATTAATGTCCGATAACATCAATGGCGAAGAGAATGCAGATACTTATAATATGATCACAAAGGTCATTTATGTATAGTATGAAGAGTGTTGGTCCTAGAACTCTGCCTTGGGGGACACCACTATTAACAGGTGCAGGATTTGATAGGGTGCTCCCTATTTTGACCATTTGTTGTCTGTTTGACAGAAACACAGTTATCCAATTATGGAGGGGTCCGGAGATGCCGTAGGATTTTAGTTTTAGAAGTAGTTTGTCATGTACCACTGAATCAAAGCCTTTACAGAAGCCTATGTAAATTGCATATATAGCTTTGCCCTGATCAAGATTTGTAGTCCATAGATTTTTGCAGTATAGAAGTTGTAGATTACAGGATATTTTTTTCTGAAACCAAATTGTTTATTAGAGAGTATGTTGTTTGTTTCTAGGTGGAGGGTAATGGATTGGTTGATGATTGATTCCATGACTTTGCAGGTGATTACTGATTATTTGTATAATCAAGCAAGATGCAATCAACATCTTGCTTGATTATACAAATAACAAAAGAGTCTTAAAAAATAACCTAAATTATACCCCTTTCTGTCACATGGTTACTTAAGGATATATACTTCGTACAACATGGCCATCCCAGTATCCAGCCTGTGTACTTATTTAATTGGTTAACATTTACTCAACATCATATTTTTGCAATAGAGTTGCATTTCTCATATCTTAAGGGCTGTTTGTAAAATGACTAAGGCTGCTTGCTTCTCCCAATGTGTGTTTCTGGCCTGTTGGACAATATTTTGTTAATACAGTGATACCTTTGTAGTCATTGTTAATTGGTTCCAGGAGGTGCAATGAGTAAAACAGGTGCAATGAGTAAAACCGGGAGGGTACCGGGAGGTACCAAAAATGATGAGTAAACAACAACATATTTTTCTCATAATGAATAAGATTGTGATAAGTCACAAGGTAGCCAACATCAACAAGTTTCAGCTTGTGCATTGAGTAACAAACAAATTATGAATTCAGTGAGTTTCAAAGCAGCTGAATTCCAAGGTACCACTGTATATGCCTTAAATACTAGTCAAATCCAATTCTTCAGATGCAAGAATTTCTGAAACGTTAAGTAATAATTTCTCATTTTTTTAATATCCAATAGGTACCGCCCTTTTCTATGTGCAATCCTCCATGCTCATCAGGTTGGAGCAAAATAAAAATAGAAGGAAAGCCCTTTTGCTGCTATGATTGCCTTAAATGTCCAGAAGGAAAAATTTCAAACAAAACAGGTAAGACATCTAAAGCAGAGATTCCATTGCTATGTATTTTGTGCAATGCCTTATATTACTCTTTAATTATAAACAGTAGTTTACCATCTCTGTACAAATTTGTCCATAATTCATTTGTCCTAATTCATTTGTCCATAATTCTGGAGAGATGTCGATTATTTAGATGTCTATTCAAATATCATGTCATATTTTTTTACTTTGGGAAAGATAAACGAGACCATAAAAATAAATATTTTCATCTATGGTTTCTATGAAAGTAAAGAGATTTCAAGATTGAGTGGAATGAACATACTATAATTTTGGGAATTGCAGCTCAGAAAGATTTAAAATAAATGGTAAAGGAGAGATCTCAGTTAGTTAAGCAATTTCTTGACAGTGTATTTTGGGAAACAAACAATAATTTAAATTTAGGTTATGTTTTTATGTATTCATCACATTTCTATACCGTCATCTGAATTAAGTGAATCTGCACAGCTTACCCTGGAAAAATATACTCTCTCCACTCCTGTTCAACATTTATATGAAGCTACTGAATAAGATCATCCATCACCATGGACTGATGTATCATCAATATGCTGATGATACTCAGCTGTATGACTCAGCCCGTGGTGAGTTAATTGATGCTGTGTCCTCCCTCTTTACCTTACTTTTAGTTTATTTTGTATTTAT